CACACACACAGTGTGGGGACTGGAGAAATGGCTCAGTGGTCTGCTCTCCCAAACATCCCAAGTTTGATTCCCAGAACCCATATGGTGGCTCACAACCATCTGTAACTCCGGTCCCAGAGGATCAGACATCCTCTTCTGGGCTTTCTCAGGCACTACACACATGCATACACAGGTAAAGATAGAAATAAAGAAAGGTGAGCAATAAGAGGATAAGGCAGGAAGACGAAGGGATGAATGGACACAGAAGGGAACCAAGGAAGGGTAATGGGGTGAATATGGTTGCCGTACATTATGTTCATGTATGAAAATGTCATGATACACCCATTAGTATGTATACTATGTGTAAGTAAAATATTAAGAAACTGTCAGAGTAGGTGTAACATACTGTCACTCGTACCTGTGCCCTCCCTGGCATCCATGCTCAACCTTCGGTCCCCACAAAAAGCAGCATGCATCTGTCCCCAGCTGAGATCCCCTTCCCTCCAGGCAGGTGCCAGCCCTGCTAGTCTTTTCAAGACATCGTTCTAAAAGGTTTCCACACCAGGGCGGGCCACACGCACTCTCCCCAGCAGCTTTACAGTTTCCCTTTGAGGCTGCCTGGGGACTGCGCTAAGGCGGTGTCTCAGGAGGGATGAGCAGGCATGTGAGGGCAGAGCGTGACTGGATGGATTCGTGTGCCCGTGTGCAGCCACCCCCACTCTTGGGCACGTTTACACACTGCACGAGCCTGTTATTGTTACCTTATTTCACCCTCCTTGCTATCCAGTCCTCTGGTTGCTGAGTTCTGAACCCTGTCCAAATAGGATCCTTACTCCACCCAACCTTGGTAAAGGACACAGTGACCTACGTGTGGCAATGTTCTCGTCCTGGCTGCCTGGTACCTCTGTTGACCATACCTTTCTCTGAGGCCTCTTTGGCTTCCAGGATCCCTAGTATTTTTTCTGCTTCTGAGGGCCCATTGCCTTTGCTGGAAGTACTAGGCTCTTGCTTTGGGCTTCACTTCTCCTCTGTGCTGTCTCAGCTGTGTGTGGGTATGTATGTGCATGTGTACACACGTGTGCATGTACATACATGTGCATGCCACAGCTCGAGTGGAGGTCAGAAGAACCCAAGGGAGGAAATTCTCTCCCTCCACTGTGTCCTTGAGTCCCAGGGATTGAACTCAAAACAACAGGCTTGGCACCAGGAATGTGTACTGGCTGAACCATCTCCCTGGTTCTTTGTACCCCTAATCCCAGCAGTCCATCCTCAGGCAGGCTTCTCCCCAACTTCCTGCCATTATGGAGACATCTCTTCCAGCTCCTATCTTGGTTCTTTCCAGCTTCCAGGTACTTAGCCTGAAACTTTGGACTCTCCCCACACACCCAAACCAGTGGAACCCATGCACTATGTGGCCCTTCAGCCGTCACCCCGATCTCTACGGTAGGTTGTTGTGCCTCCTCTGCAGTGGCCCCTCAGCAGCCACTCAGAGCTGAGAGAGTGGCTCACGTGCCCTCTCTGCTCAGAGCCCTCCTGCTTAGTCTCTCAGTGTCCTGGGTCCTAGCGCTCGCCTGCAGTGGTCCTCGGTTCGTCCGCCCTTTCCCGCTTCCCTCACTCCACCCTCACCAGCAGCCCAGCTGCCCATGCAGACCCAGCAGCTTTTACCCTGGCAGGGGACAAGCTCTCCACGAGGGAGGAAAGTGTGCCTTGGGTCAGGTCTCAGCAAACACATATCAGGGTCAAAGGTCAAACTCTTTGTCCAGTTAGCAAAACTTTCTCTTTTATCTCCACCCCACCCTAACTCTGGGGCCTCCTTTGACTCTTTGGGAATCACTTCACTTTACGACTATCTACAGCGTCATCTGGGTAGCCCTGGAGGGCAGCAATGACATGTTGGGGGTGGGGTCATGGTTGGACCTCGCTTGTGGTCCCTACAGATATGGGCAGGATGTTCACAGCACTGGAATCCTTTATGCCAGGGCACTTTGCCCAGCAAGCCTCTCACCCAAGAGCAGTGGGCAGGTCTTGAAGATGGGTGGTGTCGGCTGTCACGGGCTTCTCTTGGAGCCACAGAGCACTGAAACAGGGCAACTTTGAAGGAGCAAGAATATCCTTATAGTTCCAGGCTAGGGAACAGGGAGCGAGAGAGGAGGAGAGAGCAGAGCGAGACCAAAAGGTGGAACTTTTTATCAAGTGGCCTCTCCAGAAAAAAACCATCAGCCATTGCTGGGGGGGTCAAAGCCTGGTTTACCACCTCTCAACACAGTTGCACTGGGGACTTGGAGTCCAATGCATGAGCCCAAGGGACAAGTTCAAGCCACGGCAGTGGCCTTGGGAAAAAGGCAAGTTGCTAAGGGTAGGGGCTGTTTGGTGCCATGACGGAGAAAGTTACAAAGTTGTCTGCCACATAAGGGCCACAAGGCAGGGATGGGTCTAGGTTGACAGGGTAGCTGTCGGCTTTCAGACTTCAGCTATCTGCCTCTTGTCCCTCTCCTCTCTGGTGACTTACAGTGGGGCTCAGGATGGCCTTGAACTAAAGGCCAATCTGCTCACCCAACTTTCAGAGCTACCAGCTTCTTGTGTCTCTCCTCCCTGGGGTCTTTCCACAAGACTCGGCATGGCCTTGAACTGAAAGACCTGGATAAATCCAGACCCCTCCAGCAGAAAAAACAGCGCCAAAAATCTAAGCAGGGAGAGAAGAATCAAAAATCTAGATTAGCCGGTTCAGTGACTAACTTTATCTTCAGCTAGTTTCAGGAACTCAAAGTTAGATCATAATCTTGAGAAACAGGGAGTTACCCCCTTGTGATTATCACTGGTATTTTCGGAATTTTATGGTTTCTTCCCTTAAATACTCCTCCCAGCTACTTGGGGTCAACTCTCTACCCCTGTGTGGGAAATGAGTTTTGGCCCCAGTTCACGGGTTCCTGTCCTGTCAATAAACCTCGTATGATTGCAGCAAGGACAGTCTCTCGTGAGTTCCTGGGGGGGTCATGCTATCCTGAGACTTGAGAGTCTCCCCGCTCCAGAGGTCTTTCAGAACTAATGGCAACCCACCTCTCCCAGCCGCTTAAATGCTAGTTATGTGTCTCTACATCGTCCTACCCAGTTCACTGCCTCTCAGGGAGCCGGTACTATTATTATTATTATTATTTGTTTTTTCGAGACAGGTTTTCTCTGTAGCTTTGGAGCCAGTATTATTTTTGTGTTATGCCTAAACTAACAAGCAAAATAACTTTCCAGCTCTACCTGCACCCCAGGTCTGCAGCCTACAGTCATGCTCCTGTCTCAACAGGTAAGGCCCACAGGACTAGCTGGGGCCCCTGACCTCAGCCTCCCCTCCTGCTCTCTAGCATAAGTTCCTTCTGAATACTCTTCTGGAAGATTCCTTTCAGCAAACCACCTGGACATTTTGGCTAAGTCCCTGTGCACACAATGCTTCTTCTTTTTTTTTTTTGTCTTTCGAGACAGGGTTTCTCTGTAGCTTTGGAGCCTGTCCTGGAACTAGCTCTTGTAGACCAGGCTGGTCTCGAACTCACAGAGATCCGCCTGCCTCTGCCTCCCGAGTGCTGGGATTAAAGGCGTGCGCCACCATCGCCCGGCTCACACAATGCTTCTGAGCGGTGGAGAAGTGGGATCAGGCTGGACTTAGAGTCCTCAGGGAACCCCAGCTAGGAGAGGAAGTCAGAGGGACAACACGGAGGAGTCCCTGAAGCCACGTACCCCGTAGTCTTGCAGCCTGTGTCCTTTCCCCCTCCTTACAGAACTGCTGGGGAAGGAGCTAAGCCTCACCTTAAGCTTGGAAAAGTAGAACTGGGTAAGGAGTCATGTGATGAACTGTGGACGCCCTCTCCCCATGTCTCCCTAGGATGGAGAAGCTGGGGGCTCCCAAAGGCTATTCACTTTGCCACACTCCCCCTCATATTGAGACATCTTGAAGAAGAAAACTTGAAGAAACATAGACGACTTGTTGACAGCTGAGGCCCGGAAAAGAAAGGCTTGGACCCCAAGCCTAGTGCACCCTGGCTTCTCCCTCCTGGCCATGCCTGGGGACTGTCATGGGTCTCCTAGGAGTTGGTTTAGTCTACAAGGTGACAGTGTCTTGAGGTGGTAAGGGGTCCTGGATCACAGCTGGCAGCCTGGTGTAAACATGTTTTGTGGTCTTGGTTACAAAGATGTCCACATACCAAGCTGTCTGTCCTCTCTCTTGGGACTGTTTATCTGGCCTTCTGGGGTATAGGGTTACAGGATGCCCCCAAAGTGCGCAAGTGTGTGTGAAAGTGTGGGTGTGCCTGGGGTTCTGGGCAGATGCCTGCTTGGGTTTGCTCAGAGAACCCAGGTGAGACAGACTTCAGCCTAGTTAAGTCCCTCAGCCCCTGCCTTAGCAGGGCCACGACTGTCTGGGAGGAACACAGGCGCCAAGATGGGGCTGCTAAGACATTCTGGGAGAAGACAGAAGAGCCTGTGGATGGAATTTGGGACTTCTTCACCAGGAAGGTCCTGGCCTCGGATAATGTGGGGGTAAGGAGATCCAAGGCCTAGGTGTAACAGTGCTTTTGGAATGGACTTTGAACTCCTAAACCTCCCAAAGTCAGGACCTCAAGCTTCAGGGTCCTTTGTGGGAAGGCTAGGTGGCCTGCCCAGTTCCTCCTGAGTGAAAAACAGCATAAAATGCCAGCTTCGTTCCCAGAAAAAGACTCTGCTTCAGATGAAGAGCAAAGACAGCCACATTCGATGCATGGTAGGGAGCCCATTCCTGTGGCCAAATACTTGAACCTCACAAACCCAGCTCCAGGCGACTGCCCGGACTCGCCCCGCCCCCTTCATGCCCCGCCCTCCAAGCTCCGCCCCGTCCCCGGCCTCTCTCACCCTCCACCCCCGCGCCCCTAAGTTTCTCCGAAGTTTTCCGCGGGCCCCGCTGAGCGCCCCGCCCCTTGGCCCGTGACGCAACAATGGTGCAGCGCAGCGGCCAATGGGTTGCGGCGGGGGCCGGCAGCCTGAGCCAATGGAGGCGGCGGCCTGTCCCGCGGTGTTGCCCGGCCCCGGCCGCACTGCGCCGCCCGCCGCCCGCCTCTGGGCCGCACCGGCACCAGCACCCGGAGACCGGGTCGCGGTGAATCAGAGTGCGGCGGGCGCGGGCGGCGGCGGCTCTCTCCACGTCCGGCATCGTGGGATCTCCGTCTGCTCGCCGGTGCACGGACGGCGCGCTCCGACTCGCCGCAGGGACAGGGTCGCGCGGCTTGGTGAGTCGCCTGTCCCTGGCGTCCCTGCGCGCAGGTGCAGCCCCGATCCTGGCCATTGGCCAGCAGACACTCGGGCGCGCCCCGGAGCCGCCACGGTCGAGGTCGGTCGGTCCTTGCCGGGAAGGGTCAGGGAGGATCTGGCCAGCGGCCCAACCTCCAGTCACGGAGCCGCGGCCGTGACTCGACTCTGCCCAGTGACGTGGGACGGCCGAACTTTACGTAACCCACCCTGCACCCCACGCGTGCCCACACAGTACACCTGGGGCGCGGGGGCCCAGGTTCGGGAAGGCGCTGCAGTCATGGCATCGCCCCAGAGGGGCGGCTGCCGCAGCCCACTCCCTAGTGCCCACCTCTGCAACCCAACTACCACGAATGGTCGTGATACACAGTGTGTGGACAAGGCCCACTCGCCGTCCCGTGTCCCTTGTGACCTAGGGCTTTACCCTTGCCCAAGGTGGCAGGGCACTTGGGCCGGGCTGGGTTGGTGGCCAGGGGCTGAGGCGGGGTTTAAGCCGGGGTCTGCAGTGTCTGGAACGCAGGAGACCTAGACTCTTATCCTGGTCCAGCCTGACTTGGTGACTGACCTTGGACTAGCTTGTCCTCTGTTGAAAATGGGGTGGCGGTACTGGCCTCATGTGAACGGACCCGGCGTGAACTGCAGATAGTAAACGCTCCGATCCCTCTGTTGACTTCATCTTTTCTCTCCTCCCAGGCGCTCATTCCTATGGGCAGCAAAAGTGTTTGTGGATGAAAGACCAGAGCCACTCCCCTACTCGGACTGCTAGGCGCACTGGCTGCCACCGGCCACCACTTTCTTGCTGGTGAGGAAGCTGGCGTCTTGTGCGGCAAAGTGAAAAACCACATCTGTAGAACCCAGGGCCTCCTGCAGGAACCGGGTAGGTGTGTGTGAATGAACAGTTACATCCATGACCTTCTTGGGAAGAAGCTCTCAAGGGTACCCTCCTGGGGGCCGGGGTAGAAGTGGAGTTGGGGATAGGTTTGAGGCTGGATGAGTTGGGCTCCGCTGCTTGTGCTATGGGCATGAGTCTTGGGTGTCACATGGATTCCTCCTTATTTGCAGCTGGCGGGACCTGGCTCAGCTGGGAGCAGGCGCTCTTCCTGAAGATCCCAGAGCTGCAGAGGGTTGGGAGACTTGAAGGCTCCGGCAGGTCCAGCCTTTTCTAGCAGAAACTAGAGAGACGGGGTGCAGACGTCGAAATTCAAGCATGACTCTGGACCTAGGAGAGAACAGAGCTGGGGGCAGTGACTAGTAGAGGCAAGGCTGGTGATAGGAAAAGGGGCTCTGACAGAGGCATCAAAGACTGAGGGTGGGTGCCATTTCTCAGGCTGAGGGAGTTGTGACCAAGGCTTCACGTGGCTCCTTCGTCCCACAGGTTGGTCTGGGTGGTGTGACCCATGCCTTAAGGCCAGGAGACTCCCAGAGACCAGCATGCCATGGGACGCCAGGCCAGGACGCAGTGCCAATGGCGCGCCCGAGGGCGCGGGCTCAGCTCGTTTGCGGGTGCAGAAGCAGTGCAGGAAGTCGTCCTTCGCCTTTTACCAGGCAGTGCGCGACCTGCTGCCCGTGTGGCTACTCGAGGACATGCGTGCCAGCGAGGCCTTCCACTGGGACGAGCGCGGGCGCGCCACCGCCTATTCGCCGTCGGAGGCCCTGCTATACGCGCTCGTGCACGACCACCAAGCCTATGCTCACTACCTGCTGGCCACCTTCCCCCGGCGCGCCCTCGCTCCACCTAGTGCGGGTTTCCGCTGTTGCAACGCACCGGGACCGCATGTGGCACTGGCAGTTCGCTACAACCGCGTGGGCATCCTGCGGCGCATCCTGCGAACTGTGCGGGATTTCCCACTCGAAGAACGCATGCGCCTTCTGGACCGACGTGGCTGCAGCCGTGTGGAGGGTGGTGGCACGTCGCTGCATGTGGCCTGTGAGCTTGCGCGCCCCGAGTGCCTCTTTCTGCTGCTTGGCCATGGAGCTTCTCCAGGCCTGCGAGACGGTGGTGGCTTTACACCATTGGAGCTGCTGCTGCGCCAGCTGGGCCGGGACGCCAGCTCAGTCCCTACGGCTGCTGAGGCCGCCTCTGCCACCGTCAACGCTGCCACCTCCAGCACCACTTCGCCTGGGGAGCTATGTCAGCGCCGCCTGCTGCTGCTTGACCTGCTGGCACTGTACACCATGGGGGGTGCTGCGGGCCCAGCTCGACGGGAGCTGTTGGGAGACCGGCTACGCTGGCAGAGGCTGCTGGGTGAGGACAAGTTCCAGTGGCTAGCAGGGCTGGCGCCACCCTCCCTCTTTGTGCGAGCTATGCAGGTGCTGGTCACCACCATCTCACCCGGCCGCTTCCCCGAGGCCTTGGATGAGCTGCCTCTACCACCCTTTTTGCAGCCATTGGACCTCACAGGCAAAACCTAGACTCAGGGGCACCCTTGGCACTGTATTTGGGGACAGAAGTATTTTTGAGAGAATTGTACCCAGCACTTTACATATATGGATCTCTGACTGTACAGAAGAACCTGCCTGGTCTGTAGCATGCATTTGGGCTAGGGCTGCCAAGTCAGGCAGGCTCTTAAGAGAGCCTTGGCTCTTCACACTCCTGCTCAAGTGCACTGGCTCCCTGCTCAGCTAAGGATATGGGTGAGGACCTAGAGTCCAGGGCAGGTGACAGCTGACCCAAACAGGAGAGGAGCGGGGACAGAGGGTGGGGACTGACACGGCTGAGCAAGAGGACAGAATGTGCTGAGGCGAGCGCAATACTGACCTGCCCTGTGCTGTCAGCCTCGTGAATGGCCCTTGGAGCTGGACTTGATTCTGTGTCCAGGACGAGCAGGGCTGAGCAGGCAGCTGTGACAGGAGTGGAGAGGAGGAGCCAGGCCATGTGTGTTTGTAGTATCTCACTCTGAATCATAGGTTTCCCCACCCCGGCCTGGAATTGGCCCTGTCATCCCCTTTAGCCCTCAGGATTGGCAAGTGCTCGCCCTGGGCCTCTGAGCTCAGCTCTGGTACTGTACCTGCTCCACCATGGGCTGAGGGTTCCCAGCATTCTGTCCCATCAGGACCAGGAGTGCCTTCCAGGCCTCCTTCCCAGCCCCAGGGATGGGCTCCTCCCCCTCTCACAGTGGATGCCGTGGTGCTTATGGGGCTTACGGCTGGTTGTCGTCACCCTAGGCGAGCTTCTTGGCAGGCCTGGAGAGCTGGCTTTTGCTGGGAACTTGTGAAGATTGGGGGCTTCTTATGACTGGGGAGGAGGGCCAGATCACCCTGCCCAGGGATTTCGCTGGACTGTGAAATTCAACCTCTGTGGCGTGGGCTTGTGGGCCATGATGTTCTGCCAGGACTAGAAGCCAGCAGTCCGCTGTATTGGCCAGCCTGGCTGGGGCACCTGCTGCTCAGTGCTCCTGAGTACAGCATGCCTAGGGGTGGGAAAGTCCCGGGGTACTGGGCCACAGGAGGGAGGGTGGGGAGAGCCTGGCGAGCGGGAAGGGCCCTAGGCCTTGCTGCCTCTGTTCTGGGCCCTACTATTACTGCCAAGGGATTTCAGGTCATTTCTCAGGCCTAAAAATGTGACACACACCCTATCAATTCCAGAAAGTGGGGCAAGAAGTTACTGGCAGGTACTGATCCTACATCTAGATCGGAAGCTCTACTTCTGCCTAACTTGCTTCTCTAAGCCCTGGCAGTTGTGGGTGATGGATGCTAATGTCTTCCCCAACTCTAGGTTTGGTCCATTCACGGTTAATCCCCCTGGACTTCTGGGAGGTTCCAGGTCCAGATTAAGGATGTCATTGATAGCAGGGCGGTGGTGGCGCACGCCTTTAATCCCAGCACTCGGGAGGCAGAGGCAGGCGGATCTCTGGGAGTTCGAGACCGGCCTGTTCTATAGAGCTAGTTCCAGGACAGGCTCCAAAGCCACAGAGAAACCCTGTCTTGAAAAAAAAAAGGATGTCATTGATGGTGGTGTTTCCTTATTTACAGGATGGGAACAGTGGCTTGCAGTAGCTCCTGGGGAGCCTAGAAAGCTGGGCCCCTGTTGAGAGTGTTGACTTGCTCTCGTGTCTCCTTAGCCCAGTGCCCTTTGGGGTCTGCTGGTGAGGGCTAGGTCTCCTTCAGGTAGACAGACTGCTGCTTTGTTGATGACCTCTCCTGAGCTGCCTGACCTGGAGGAGGGACAGTGCACTATTTAGGCCTTATGGTGGCATCAGGGAAGATGCAGGGTGGAACCTTATGGGAGGAATTGGCACCATAGAGCTTGGCTCATGGTGACAAGCACATAGGTGTCATGGTAGTCACCATTGCTGATTGGGCCCCAGCTCATGTGCCTTTTGGGTGGGCACAAAGACAAAGACTCACTTGGGACACTGATTTGGTGGGGCCTCACTACTGGGAGGGGTGGAGAAGCCTCGCCAGCCTCCTCAGAGGAAGGCCTGGTTCCTGTTCCAGATCTGTCACAGCTGCACTTCGGGGAAGCAGAAGGCCTGGAGAGGTGGTGCCTCTCTGATAAGCACAGCCTCACTTATCATCGGGTGGTAGTTTCTGAGAGCGGAAGGGTGGGTGGCCCCAGCGTGTGTGGCTTATCTATCCCCTAGGCTCCCCAGCCCCAGGAAGGGCCACCTTGTTGGGTGTTGCCATCCAGGCCATGAGCGTGCGGTACTGAGCAGATCTGGAGGGGGCTATGCCAGGCTCTGTGCTGACATCCACTACCAGCTAGTAGGAGGTGATCACGTCTGTTCTTCCCTTGGTTTATTTGCTCGCTTCATGAATTTCACCTTTCACCAATGTATCCTGCCCCAACAAAATGTTAAATGTGTCCCCAGGAGATCTGTACCACACCCCAGTTAGAGAGTTCATGAGCTAGATTATCTGGCCCCTGATGCCTGTCTGGAAGGACAGAAACTGAGCCACAGTGAGGCTCATTACTCAGTGCCTCCCCTGGACTTGGAAGGGCAGGCCTGCCCTGGTGCTGTGGCCTGCTGCCGCCTCCACCCTTGGCTTGTGTCACTTTCCACACCGACTCCATCTGCTTTAACCTTGGCTCTATTTCTGTGCTGGTCGCAGCATGGGCCGTAGGTCTGTACGTGACTTCAAACCCTTTACAGACAAGGTGGCTCCCCAGGAGGCAGGAAGGAAGCACATAGGCTGGAGTCCTGTCCACCTACTGCAGTCCACCACAGTAGTGCTTGGCTGTGATCCCAGCACAGAGGATCAAGAGTTCATAGCCAGGGGCTGGAGGGGCTCAGTGTGTAAGAGCACTGGCTGCTCTTTCAGACCCACGTTCAATTCCCAGCACCCACATACAGCTTAAACAGTCTGTAACTATCTCCGGGGGATCTGATGCCCTCTTCTGACCTCACCTTAGACACCAGGCACACATGTGGTGCACAGACTTACATGGGGGCAAAACACTCATGCACCAAATAAAGCTGGGCGTGGTGGTGCACATCTGTAATCCCAGCACTCACCGGGTGGAGGCAGAGTTCAAGGTTATCCTTGGCTAGGTCTCCAGTTTGAAATCAGCTTTAGTTGTGTGAGACTGTCTCAAAAAATTATCAAGGTCAGCCTAGGCTACATAATAAGTTCTAGGCTATTCCTGCCCCTCTCTGTTTCAAAAAAGTCAACATCAGTAATTGGTACTGGTGCCACGCCCTCACCCTTTGATGACTGGCTCTGACTATAAAAACTTGAGATTTGACTTCTGCATGATAAAACACAAAGGCATCAATTTGTAACTTGATGAGTTATGACTAATGTCTGCACAGATGTAACCACTGTCCCAGTCAAGGGGGAAGTGGAAATTTCTACCTCCAGTGAAATCTAGACATTTAATTTTTTCTGTCTAGGTGGCTCAGTGGGTAAAGGTGCTTGCCCCCCAAGCCTGGAATCCTGAGTTAATCCCTGGAACCTGTGTGAAGGGGAAGGACGCAGGACTGACTGCACAGTGTTGCTCTCTGACTTGTGCTAGCATGCACATCCACACACACAAGCACAAAACATACAAATGAACACTGGGATTGTGGGGAAAAGTCCATGCCTGAGCATGGCTAGGCTCCTGTGGAGACACACTGGTCACACTGCTCACTGCTAGCTGCCTGCCCAAGCGGCTTGGTGTTTTCTTACAGAGGTTTTTTCTGGGGGTATGGAGGGTGAAGGACAATGCTGGGGAGGTGGAATGCCAAGTGTTCCACACTGAACCATCCCCCTCACCCCACAACTCAGTATTTTTAAGATCACCATGGTAGGGGCTGTAGAAATAGTTCAGCAGTTAAGAGCACTGGCTGCTCTTCCAGAGGACTGGGGTTCAATGCCCAGCACCCACATGGCAGCTCACACCTTCTGTAACTCCAGTTCCAAGGGACCTGGCACTCTCACACAGAAATACATGCAGGCAAAACACTAATGCACATAAAAACAAATCATTAAAAAAGTCACCATGGTATAAGCATTTCCCAGTATTTTATGGAAAGGATTTTAAAAACGTGTGTGGTGTTGATTTTGTGGTATTTGACTCAAGTACTGTTAATACTGAAAAATTAAGAGAATTGAGTTTCTAAAATGTAAATTTTATTTAGTTTTGAAATAAATAATACATTTACATGGCTCAACATTCAAAGGATAAAAAAGACACAGACTTGGAAACAATCACTGGCCAGCTGCTTGTCCCAAGTGAGAACTTGTCTCTATCCCTCCTGAAGGGCGAGGCACAAGAAGCACCCCCACCACAGTGTCCTCCTCTCTCTGCAAACCACGCTGTACTGACAGGTTAGAAGAGTTTCACCGTGAGATGCCCTGCTGGCATACATCCTGTGGCCTTACAGGCCTGTGTTCAAAACAGTGTTACCTTCTCTGTTTTATTATTCGTTGACATTCTGAGTACTGAACCTGAGGCAGCAGCGTGCCCGGCCAGGGCTATAGACATACGTCCCAGTTGACGGTTCTCGACAGCTCAGAGGAGGCCAAAGTGAGGCTTTTGGTTCAAAGACCCTTCAGAGGCTTTCCCAGAAATGTTTGTGCCTACAGGTTAAGACAAGTTCCTGCAGTGAACATTTAACATGGGGACCACACTGTGGCGATCATGTCCCTTTCTAAGTTTGTTAACTTTTAAGTTTAGTGTTTTTGAGACAGGCTCTTACTGTGTGGTCCAGGATGGTCTGGAAGCTGTGGCAGTCTTGACCACTGCCTGAGTGCCGGAATGTAGGCACGCTCTGGGTCCCTGTAGGGTTTCTGGTCTGTGCTGTGGTGTGCATGCTCAGTTCATCACTACTAAGCCACATCTCCAGCCCCACACGGATTTCTGACTTACAGGTTCTACACTTTGATATGTAAAGATCTCCATATGGGTTTCGTGTGGTTGTCCCAGCATTTGGGTGTACAAAGCACTTGCCCTCTGGAAGGCAAAGGCAGGTTTCCCGTGCTAAGTGGAAACAGTAGGCACAGCAGCTGTGCGGGCCTGGCCATGCTGGCATCAGCACAGGTCAGCAGATTCACCAAGCTAGGTCCTGGTCCATGTTCACTGTGTGATTGTGAATAAGGTACCCAGCCTCTCTAAGACTCACTGGCTAGCCATGCTCTCCTTCCTGGGAGGGGATAAGCTAGGAGACCTGAGCAGTAAATCAGGGTCTATGTGGGTACTACCTACCATGATTTTAAGAATTCCCCTGTCTGACAGAGAGATCCCAGTGGGGATTCTCAAGGGGATTCTCAAAGTCTCAAAGACTTCATTGCATGGAGTCTGACATCTTAGCAGGACATGGTAGTGCACACCTGTAATCCTAGAACTGAAAGGTAGAGGCAGGAGGATTAGAAAAAGCAATCTGTGGCTAGCTAAATAGTGAATTGGAGGCCAGCCTGGGCCTCATAAAACTGTCTCAAAACAACAACAAAAGGCTGATGTCCGAGGACAGCCCTTCGTTCTGCCTTCTTTGGGGGCATTCTCTCTAGGGCTGCCAGTGGGTGTGTCCATCTGTGGAATAGCCACTGCCCACTATACCACCCGGGGAAGCTGGCTCAACACCATCCAGGTTCTGAGACCAGGCAGAGGGTCTCTGCTGCAGTGTGGCTGAGCTGGGCTTCTGCAGGCCTCCCCGCTCAGTCACTATACTCAACATTTGAGAAATGTCTAAGATTCTGCATGATCTCAAAGCACAATACAACAAAACAAAACCAAAAAGAAAATCATAGAAAGTACAGAAGCTCAAAGTAGTTTAAAAGTGTCTGTTTAACTTGGGTTTAATTGCACTATTGTCCCGTGGACTTAGGGGGCTGCTGCCATTGTGAGGGGCCAGGCAAGGCACGCCGTTCACAGAAGAGGTGCAGCCCAGGTGGGGCTGCCTCCGCTGTCAACAAAGTCTATAACTAAGTGCAACCAGGGCTCTCAGCAGCTCGTCATTGCTCAGACCTGGGAGCCTCTGCTTCATGACTGCTAGGGCCTTGACCTGGTGCTTAGTGGAAAACAGACATCAAGTAACTGCCTGGACCAGGCGGACTAAAAAAAGGCAGCTAGTGTGGAGTAGTGACAGGGACCTCCTGGGTGGGGGCAGCAGGCTCAGGGAAGGACACACAGTGGACAGCCTGCCCTGAAGCTCAGATGCCTGAGCAAAGAATGCCACTGTCCCAGCTGTGATTGGAACATGGCACCTGTGAGCAGGAGGCACTGTTTCCACCTGCTGGGGAAGTCAATGCTATGCCCACTGGACACTGGCTACTCTTGTGTTGAGGACATGATAGGGGATGGCCACACCTGCAAAGCTATAGCCAAGACAAGGTGGACTTAGGATAAACCTCCTGAAGGAACAAAAGACCTTCACAGTTTCCAGAAGATAGACCCATCTTCTGTTTGGAGGTTGCATCTCAGATGAGGTATCTTATTCAGGTCTGTGATGTGGCAATGAGAGGCAATCACTACATCTTCTGGAGGTGCCTGGTTTAGGGTGCCCACTAGCACACTAGTCAAAGTCTTCCCCAAGATGTCTCTAGATTGGTCAGCCCCAAATCTGATCAGCACCCTGCGCTGGACTAAATGGACCATGTGGGCAAGAGGTGGGCAGCTACCCTGAGTGTGGGCAACATAATGAGGCAAGGGTGTGTGCGTGTATACCCTTACCCTGCACAGTCCAGTACCCCTATCCTGGACGGGTACTTCCCACTGGGATGTCTGGTTTGGGATGTACACTGTGGCCTGTATCTCTCGGAGAGATGTGAGGGACCCTGTGAGGAAGTCAACACTGTCACCAGACACATCTAATGGCTGCGAGCTTTGTGTGCAGGCCTGTTTGGCCTGGGTTCTGGTATGGACATGTGCCCAACACTTCCTAGCTTTGACTCATCTGCCTGTGGCGGTGTCTCTATTGGCCCCCACACCAGGATCTGGATTTGCTGAAGATAATTTACTGTGGTGCACAGGTGACTAGTGCATGCGAAGGAGCAGCAGCAGCCGCTGCGCCCACTTGGAGGTGACCTTGGCAAGCTGTCAAAGGTGCTGCTGCTCCAGCGACAGCTCCCAGCTCCGGTGCACAGCAGAGGCTGTGAGTTCTGGATGAGGCGGTAACAAATACAAATACAGATGAAAGCCCGTGTGGGGTGTCCAGCCTGGTGGAAGAGGCATACCCGTAAGCAAGCCACTGGGAATCAGCAGCGTCCTTCACAGAGCCTCAGCTCCTCCCTGACTGGCTGCCTGGGGCTCCTTCAGATGACCTCCCACTCGTCCTCCAGGTCCTCAGGGTGGGAGGTGACTGCCGGGCTGTTCTTCTGGGTACTGTGTGAATGGCTGAACGTCTTTGTCAGTCGCTGGAGAAGATAGCCAGGGGAGCCCACTGCCCATAGCTCATCTGATGAGGTCACTGCAAAGATGACAGCCAGTCAGTCTGAGACAAAGCACATAGCTGCTGAGCAGGGCCCTGGTCCAGTCTGGACTTGGTGACATTCTGGCTCAGAGATAGGAAGAGCCAGTCATTTTCCGACTTGAGCTTTATTCACTCAATTTAACTTTTTAGCTGTTTTTTTGAGACTCACATTGTATCCCAGATTGGCCTGGAACTCACCATGTAGCACAGGTTAGCCTAGAACTCCCGACAATCTCCCCCACAGCCTTTCAAGTGCTGGGATTACAAGTGTATGTAGCTGCACCAGCAGTTTGTTCCAAGCAGGGCAGCACCTATTCCTGTCAGGTGACTTCAGAACCCACGTCTAGCCCTCCCACAGGGGGCCTTGCCCTTGGTCTGGCTGTAGGGTGTGGAGCTGAGTTGGGGCAGCTCTTTCTGTATGCACCACCTCCCCCCAGGAGATACCAAGTCCCCAGCACCTGCCTGTGAAACATAAGACACTTCCAGGAATTTTCTTCCAGTAGTCCCCTGCAGGATTTTTGTCTGTGATTCCATAGCGGCGGGCGAGGTCACCATTTGGACAGCGGGCCCACACGGTCCTGGTGCTCAATGCCAACTGGCAGGCCTGTAACCCTGTGAGCAAACTGGGTATCAGCTCATCTCTGGAAGACACTGGACAGCGCACCCTTCCCAGTGCTGCTCTTGCCAGACACTGCTTTGGTCACCAGGACTTCTGTACAGTGACACTGTATGGTTCTGGGTACCAAGGGAAAGGGTGCCCCAAGCAGGCTAGCCCAGCCACAGATGGGCCTGAGCACTGAGAAAGCTATATTCCCACTGTGTGGGGGACAATGGGACACTCTTTGGATTGTCCCTACCTGGCACATGCTCCCAGTCTGTCCCCACAGGCATCTCCTCAGTGATCCCAGTTCGCACATGCACATTCCATCTGCTGTCCAGGGCCCACAGCATCTGGTCATTGGGGCTAGAATGGACGCTGACCAAGGTGACCCCAGCAGGCTGGAAATGAGAAGGGCAAGAGCTTTAGGGAGCCGGAGGCACACCAGGAACTGCAGCAGGCCAGCTGGGCATGCGGCTGGGTGGAGCCGCAGTCACAAGCAGAAGAGGCAAAGTTGGGGTGGCTCCTTGGTGTTCTGCACTTGGCATTCAGTCTCACAGGAAAGAAAGACATTTACCAGGCGATCCTCATAATGGCACACAAACAAGATTATGGGACACCATACCAGACAACTTCAGCTGGCGACAGAGAGGCAGAGTGGTCTGGATAAGGGAGTGACCGACATGAGGAGAAGCTGGAACTGCAGGACACAGAGAAGCCGCGTTGGGACGACCCCATCTGATGCTGCAGGCAGCCGCTACACCAGCAGAAAAGGTACTGCCCCTGGTCTTTCTAAAGTTCACTAAACACATGGGCAGCCTCGCCTGGCCAGCTCACCTGGGCCCTGACATCTACCTGGAGACTCTCCCTTAACTCTGAGTCCTCCTGTGGCACCTTCGCTGCAGGTGACATTTCCTGTGGTATGGGAGATGGAGGAGAGAATGCTGACAGGAGCTGGCCCTTAGGTAGGCGCCAGGCTGGCTGTCCACGCCATGGTGTGCTGTCAGCTCTTCACGGTGAGAGCACATCCCTGCAATGTTGCTTGCTTTGCTGGAGCAGGCCACTCTGCAGAGTAACAAAGCCCCAATGTTTCAGAGAGCAGAGTGACCTAGAGTCCAGGTGAATAACCAAAGCCTTGAAGGGCTGGCCGTCCCGGTGCCGATGCTTCCCTGCTGCGTGTCCTCTCATGGCGCTAGTTTCCCGAGTTCTGGCCAGTTACTCTCCGACGGGTGGTCTCTGCTTGGTCACTATGTGGTTATGATGCATGCTTCAAGCCACATTCCGCTTAGCTCCTGTCACGATGTTGACATCACACCCCTGCTGGCTCGAGCCGCCAGACTCTCTCTCCCTCTGTGGAGAGCTACCCATCCCCAATGTCTGCGGAAGCACTCATAACCTGCCAACTTCTCACCCACTGGCCATTCTCAGTGGTAGCTTTCTACCCATCATCAGGCTCATCTGACTGGATGAGCAGAGCACCAAGTACAGAAGGAGCGTGAGGGTGGAAGGGTAGGAGGAGAAGGTAGATTAGGCACCTGTGTTATGTGGATGGTAGGGAAAGAAGGGTTGTCAGAGTCAAGGCTGTAGAGTATAGGGCTGTAGCAGGATGCCACAGGGCTCTGTACGACCCTGCAGTGTCATAGGGAACATAAAACAGCGGCAGAAGAAACCAGAGTTATTTCAAAAGTCACCTTCTAGGCCACAGAGGGTCTGCCTATTCTAGATCTGCAGTTGAATGCCCATGGATCACCACAGGAGCTCAGTGCCTGGGCCTGCTGCTCATGCCCAGCTTTGCAGTGCTGGTTGTGCCCAAATAATACACCTCAGGGAGTCTCTCTGAGCAATATGCTTACTCTACAGTTTGAGCACACGATTCCTATTTCTACCCCATAGTCTGGGATCATAGGGTACAGATCTTGAGGAGGGCTGTTCTAGGTCAAGTCCCAGTCCTACAGGGTGACAGGCACAAGAGTAGGGATGGAAGAGGCTGTCCCACTATGCACTGAGCAGAGTGAGGAAGGCGGGCTGCTGGGCCCCATAGCACTGACACAGAGGAGGGGTCCTGGGCCCAGCAGCCCACACATCAGTGCTGTCTCTATTTACCACACTAGCCATAAGCACCTATGAATCTACAGTTACAAACACCTCATACTGTGCATACAGAAGTTAAGCGGGGTGGAGAGACAGCTCAGGGGTTAAGAGCATTGTTCAATTCCCAGCATCCACATGGCAGTAGGTGCCATCTGACATCTGTCTGTAACTCCAGTTCCGGGAGATCTGACATCCTCACACAGACATGCATCAGGCAAAACATCAATGCATGTAAAATAAAAATAAGTTATTAAAAAAAAGTAAAAAGCTAAAATTTTGGCTTATTTAGCTTTAAAACTTCATATAAATTAAAAGAAAAAGGGAAGAAAGAATACAAGTTGTACATAATTTAAGAATAAGGACAGTGAGGTAGCTCACTGGTAAAGGCACTTGTCACCAAGCCAAGTCCCAGGACCCACATGGCAGAAGACGAGAACTAACTCCGGCAAGTTGTCTCCTGATTTCACATGTGTGCTGGAGCATGACCCCTCCCACAAGACAGCTGAATGTGATAGCAGTTTTTAAACATTCAAGAACAACATGGGAACATTAGAGCCCACATAGGATCTCGGTGAGCTGAGAGAAGGAGCAGCTACCTGTGTGCACATGCACACACTTGTTAAGTGTCATTTAAAAGGCTGCAGGGTACAGGTGGGAGGAACCAAGGCCCCTTTCTGGAGCAGTTTAATTATAGCCATCAATATGCTTAAATGTTTATAGATCAAAGGGACTGCTGGTGGCTAGAGCTTCCTTTAAATACAGTATGGTAGGGGATGCTGTCCCACACCCCCAAATGATAAAGCCCCAGGATCATCTCTCATCACTAGAAACAACCAAGGCCACATTTTCTTCCTAAGCACCCCCTTTGCAGGAGCAGCCATTCTCCCCATCATCAGATTACAGATGGTATCACTGTGACCCAGACACAGCAGCTCTGTGGACACCTTCCCAATGTGGGCTGAGGAAGCTGTTTGGGGCCACAGTGAGGGTCTCAGGTCCTGAAATATGAGGGTCACCTGAGCCAGGCATGGTAGAGTACACCTTTAGTCCCAGCACTAGGGAGGAAGAGGCAGGCAGACCTCCGGGTTCAAGGCCAGCCTGGTCTACATAGTGAGTTCTAGGACTGCCAACGTTGCACAGAGAAACCCTGTTTCAAAAACAAAACAAAACAAAACAAAACAAAAAAGGGGGATCCCTAGGCATCAGGTGCAGTTAAGTTCTGCTCCATTTATATTAGGTTAGCTACCATAGACAAAACCTGGTCCCAGTGTGTGTGTGTGTGTGTTCATGTGTTTATAGGAAAATCCAGGACCCTGTGTATTCTAAGCAAACTCTCTACCACTGAACTATATCCCCAGCCCTAAGCTCTTTGAGATAGGGTCATGCCATGCCAAGTTGGCCTTTAAATCATAATCTGCCCTGAGTGCTGGGATTTCAAGGTGCAGCACCATGCCCAGCATGTATGAATTAGCACACTGGGCCTGGTACCTTCCCATGTGGCACACACCCGTGGGAAGGACTTTACTGATTCTTCAAGAGAAGAGGCTGCTGTGACAGGAGGCACAGCCACACCTCTGTCAGTGGAAAGGCACAGTCTGTATGTGTTCCTAGCCTACTCACTGGCAGTTCCCACTAGAGGCCATTTCCACTGCTGTCACAGGCAACAGGCCCCGCTGGACAGGCTGTGCGGCTTGCTCCAGTGCTCCATGGCCCTGGTGCATGCTAAGTCCAAAGAGCCATCAGGATGGCTCCAGGGCCTCCACAATCACCATCATCAGGGTGGTCCTCTGCCAGCTCCTTCGCTCCCTCTGTGCCACTTGCTCTCCCCCTGACTGACAGGTTCCTAGGGAAGGCAAGCCATGCTTTGTATTTCCCCTCAAATAGCTCCTGTGTCTAAGCTTTTGCTGCTTGAGAGATGTTAACAAGATGAGCAGAGCAGAGGTGTGAAGCCTGGGGAAACCCCACAATAACAACGGACAGTACAATTCACTTCAGCGGGAGAGCAAATGGACTCCGCCTAACACAAACTCGCTTTTCTGTTTCCCAGCCTCTTGGCTCCAAAGCGACCAAAGAGGTCAGTCCAGCCCAACTCCTTTATATTCCGGGGAAGAAGAACCACAGCACTAGCACCTGGAGCTGCAGTGACTGGGCTCAAACCAGAGTCCTTCAAACTGCCAAGCTGAGCCTTATCTCAATACGCCTACCTACAACCAGGAACGTAAAGAGCATGTGCATGCCTGCATACCCTCACCCTGAGCCCAGCAGAGGAAACGTTACCCAAGCAGAGTGGCCTGAGGCCAGTGGCACCTTAAAGACTTCCTTTTCTTTCTCCTTGGGTTCACTCTCCAACTTTCTCTCTTTTAACCTTTACTCCATTTGAAAGGTGATACAGCCCTAAACTTTCCTTTTCCCAGAGGACCCGGGGTCTCTGCTGTGTGCTCTGATGTTCGCAGGTTTAAGCCTTAAGACACTGAGGTGTATGGGTTCACCTACGGGCTCCATGGTGGTGGACCTACATTTATTTGTTCCTTAGTCCCTTGTTTTTCCTAGCAAACACTCTTCTGCTTCTGGTCTCTTCCCTTCTTTTCAGAAAAGCTTGAAACCTAGATGCTAATGCCATTGGACTTCCCATCTGGACTACAGCATGTCTCAGAACCCAGCAAAGAGCAGCATTTGCTAGTTATAGGGGATATGCTGCAAAAACACGCTTAGAAATAGGTTTCTTGGGCAACTCTGACATCCTGTCTTTCCTGAGCTGGTAGGTAAAACCAACTGGACCACTCTCTGCCCACTGCTGTGGCTGAGATACTGTCAGCATGCAGCACTGCCTCCCCACTCCCACCCCGTGTTCCTTACAGCTCGTTACGGGGCTGCTAAAGGGGCCCTCACATAAACAACTTGTGGCTAGCTGGGGGGAGGTGTCCTTGGAAATGACAGCATCCATCTATCTATCTATCTATCTATCTATCTATCTATCTATCTATCTATCTATCTATCTTTTATCTAGGGTTTTAAAGACAAATTCTCTCTATGTAGTCTAGCTCTGGCTGTTCTGGAAATCACTCTGTAGACTAGTCTGGTCTCAAATTGAGATCTGCCTGCTTGCTGGGACTAAAATCATCCAGCTAAATTTTTTTTTTTTTTTTTTTTTTAGCAAAAAGTATATAACTCAGGCTGGCCTTGAATTCCTGATTCTCCTGCCTCTACCTTGCTAGGATTATAGGCATGTGCCACTATGCATGTGATTTATATGGTACGGGGATCAAACTCAGGCCCTCATTCATGCTAGGCATGTGCTCTATCACTGATC